CCCCCCGTAATATTACATTGTTCGCTTATAATGATAAAAATAATATGACATTTATATCGCGCAAATCCGTAAAACAATCGTTGCTCTATGTGCATTGCATAATATTCATGAAAAACATGCGTACACACATGACATACATGCACATGCACTGAAAAAGAATAGGTGTCACGACATGATGGGATCAAACGCTCGTCAGTTTTGATTTTGAGGCGTACAGAGTTATTGATATCATCTTAAAGCCTGTCTATTTGCCTTCGTTTTGGTGAAAACAATATTCATCTATGCTGAATTGAAGTCGAAATATTCGTGATTGAAAGAGGTGGGGTCACCTGATTTCAGAGGTAAATTTAGTGAGAAAATGGCCGCCAAAGTTTGATAACTTCAATAGCTTGAGAGCCTTTAACACTGAAAAATCCCAAATTTTGTGCATGTAATGAACGTTTTTCTGTATGGACGTAAAAGGTGTTTAGCGCGAAAAAAAAATTCAATGAAAGTTCCCAAACCTGCGGAAAAATGCCAGTTTTTTTCACTTTCATTATTTTGACAAGCGCCTGATTTCACCACGCTGCCTCACAATTAGAATAAATCATTCAAGGAAAATATTGCACACACACTCTTTCTTGCTAATAAAAAGGAAAAAATTAAGACGCATGTCTATGACAAAAGCGCTTTAATTAAAAAAAAAAAAAAAAAAGGTTACAGTGGAATTCTGATAAAATCAACTCCCCGGAAAGAAAAAAAAGTGTTGACTTTGAGCATGGTTGACTTTATTATCCATTGTACTACTGGCCATTGAAAATTGAAGATGACAGCTACAAAATTACAAAGTACCTGGTAATCAACAAGATGTAATCTCAATTCCAGGGAGTATAATTCTGAAGTTGTCACCAAAACAAGAGATAATGAAAGAACAAAGTACATATTATGTAATTGGAGGTGTGTACACCACTTGCTCAGACGAAATATCTCTTTTTGAATGGAATTCATCTTAGGATTTAGCCCCAAATTGTTGACTTTACGTACCGGGTAAGTTTAACACTCAAGCGGTTGACTGTATCAGAAACACAATTACTTTAACAAAGAAGGTAAGGAACGTGACTACAGTGTGGTGTTGACTGTAAGCAAGAGTTGACTTTAAGCAAGTTGACTTTATCAAGATTCCACTGTATCTCTGTTAGTACTGATCATTTATGCTGAAAAAAGTGAAATTAGTTATCAACAAATGCAGAGTTCATCATTATGTCAAGAATATTTTTTCACCTCACAAAAGTGTAATATTACATTAGTTCAAGACCCCACCCCCTCCCCCTTTCTTCCACTTTTCTTACAGGGAGTCAAAGACGCCCCCCCCCCCCCCCGGGGGTAAATATATATTTAAAGGGGCCCATGGCCCTATATATATATATAGGCGCTCGGGCTCCCGTGACCTAGAGGTTAAGGTGTTCGCCTCTCTCTCAAAGGTCCCGGGTAGCGACCGAAAAATTCTCTCCTTTAATACATGTATTGTCTCCTTTCAGCCCCTTTCCTGCTCTCTTGCAATGTTCGGTCGTCTGCTGTCGTCTCCACTTTCTGCCCCCATCCTCTCACCTCCTTTGCCCCCTCATCTGGGCTTCTGACTCTTTCTATAGCCTTTCTACTGCTACAATTCTTGGTTCCTTCGTAGTGCTGTGTTTTAGCCAAACCCCTGAGCTTCTGGTAGGAAAAATCTACACCTAGTCTAGCCTTCTCGGACAAGGGTGAAAAATCTCGGAGGTCCCGTGTGCAAGTTGCGCACGTTTTAAAGATCCTTTGGTGGTCTAAAATCGAGAGTAGGCTTCGGCCGCCACTCGGGCAAAATTCAAAATTTCTTACCAACTGTAAAGGATTAGTGTGTTCCGGGTGCTCATATCTGTCCCCGGGGTTTATGCACCCCGCATAATTTAGCGAAATTTGATCATTTTTTGGGCTTAATTTCTGATTATTTTCCTTTTTCATTCCTTGTTAAAATTAACAGAATCGCATAATTTCACAATTTTTGGGCTCAGTTTGCATAATTTCAGATTTTTGTGTGTACATAAAACCGCGGGACAGTCATAATAGATAGCATTTGTATAGCGCAAATCCCCGCTCAACAGCAAGCTCTATGCGCTTCACTATACATGTACATGTATTTACTATTACCCCAGCACACCTGAGAGCATTCTGAAACACCTCAATTTCCCGGGAGGTGTACAGTGCAAGCAGCCATTTATTGGCCCTCTTATCCACTAACATACTGGCAAGATCTTTCACTGTCTATGGCCGGGTACCCATTCTCACCTGAGTGAAGTGAGGAAAATTCGGTTAAGTGCCTTTTTTTCACACATTATGTGCGAGTTGCTGTCTTGAACTTTTCACAACAAATTTAATCGTTTACTCACTGGTACTGGTAGGCACAGCCTGAGCTGTTGAATTGTGCGATAATTGAGTGTTAAAAGCTCACAACTTGTCTAATTTTGTGAGAAGTCGCCCGACATTTGACGTGTGGGTACATTCACGGGGTGGCTATATAATGCCAATGGGCGAAAAAATTTGGTTTCATCACTTGTCAGTTTAGCGA